CTGCAATACTATAGTAGCTGTACCATCTATAGTACCCGTATTACTGCAATACTATAGTAGCTGTACTATCTATAGTACCCGTATTACTGCAGTACTATAGTAGCTGTACTATCTATAGTACCCGTATTACTGCAGTGTTATAGTAGCTGTACTATCTATAGTACCCGTATTACTGCAGTACTATAGTAGCTGTACTATCTATAGTACCCATATTACTGCAATACTATAGTAGCTGTACCATCTATAGTACCCGTATTACTGCAGTACTATAGTAGCTGTACTATCTATAGTACCTGTATTAATGCAGTACTATAGTAGCTGTACTATCTATAGTACCTGTATTAATGCAGTACTATAGTAGCTGTACTATTATCTATAGTACCCGTATTACTGCAGTACTATAGTAGCTGTACTATGTATGGTACCCGTATTACTGCAGTACTATACTAGCTGTACTCTCTATAGTACCCGTATTATTGCAGTACTATAGTAGCTGTACTCTCTATAGTACCCGTATTACTGCAGTACTATAGTAGCTGTACTATCTATAGTACCTGTATTACTGCAGTACTATAGTAGCTGTACTATTATCTATAGTACCCGTATTACTCCAGTACTATAGTAGCTGTACTATGTATAGTACCCGTATTACTGCAGTACTATACTAGCTGTACTCTCTATAGTACCCGTATTATTGCAGTACTATAGTAGCTGTACTCTCTATAGTACCCGTTTTATTGCAGTACTATAGTAGCTGTACTCTCTATAGTACCCGTATTACTGCAGTACTATAGTAGCTGTACTATCTATAGTACCTGTATTACTGCAGTACTATAGTAGCTGTACTATTATCTATAGTACCCGTATTACTGCAGTACTATAGTAGCTGTACTCTCTATATTACCCGTATTATTGCAGTACTATAGTAGCTGTACTCTCTATATTACCCGTATTATTGCAGTACTATAGTAGCTGTTACTATCTAAATAACCCTTATCATACACTAAATAACCAACTTTCAATCTTGCTCTACTCAACCATTCATCATTAAATAAATAACCTCCTCACATCCTCTACAAACACTCCCACCATCAACACATATATTAATAACCACTACCACCTCAACACCACTCCACTTCCTTCCTCAACAACACCACTATCACACATTTTCTAATCATTACTTACCAATACCAATCATCACACATTCTTATTCTCACCACACAACCACCACCCCCCCCCCCCCCCCCCCACAACCAACCCACCTCTTCTCAGCTGAGGTACTCCATCAAATGTTCTGGTTCTGACTAAGGTCCACAAATGATGGTGATGGTGGTGGTAATGATGGTGGTGTTAATGATGGTGGTGATGATAATGATGATGATGATGATGATGATGATGATGATGATGATGATGATGATGGTGGTAGTAATGATTTTGATGACCATGATGATGATGATTACTAGTGGTGGTAATGATGATGGTGATGGTGGTGGTGATAATGATGGTGTTGGTGATGATGATGATGATGATGATGATGATGATGATGATGATGATGATGGTAGTAATGATTTTGATGACCATGATGATGATGATTACTAGTGGTGGTAATGATGATGGTGATGGTGGTGGTGATGATGATGATGATGATGATGATGATGATGATGATGATGATGATGGTGGTAGTAATGATTTTGATGACCATGATGATGATGATTACTAGTGGTGGTAATGATGATGGTGATGTTGGTGGTGATGATGATGATGATGATGATGATGATGATGATGATGATGGTGGTAGTAATGATTTTGATGACCATGATGATGATGATTACTAGTGGTGGTAATGATGATGGTGATGGTGGTGGTGATAATGATGGTGGTGGTGGTGGTGGTGGTGGTGATGATGATGATGATGATGATGATGATGATGATGATGATGATGATTACGGTGATGATGATGATGGTGGTAGTAATGATTTTGATGACCATGATGATGATGATTACTAGTGGTGGTAATGATGATGGTGATGGTGGTGGTGATAATGATGGTGGTGGTGATGATGATGATGATGATGATGATGATGATGATGGTAGTAATGATTTTGATGACCATGATGATGATGATTACTAGTGGTGGTAATGATGATGGTGATGGTGGTGGTGATGATGATGATGATGATGATGATGATGGTGGTAGTAATGATTTTGATGACCATGATGATGATGATTACTAGTGGTGGTAATGATGATGGTGATGGTGGTGGTGATGATGATGATGATGATGATGATGATGGTAGTAATGATTTTGATGACCATGATGATGATGATTACTAGTGGTGGTAATGATGATGGTGATGTTGGTGGTGATGATGATGATGATGATGATGATGATGATGATGGTGGTAGTAATGATTTTGATGACCATGATGATGATGATTACTAGTGGTGGTAATGATGATGGTGATGGTGGTGGTAATAAATATGGTGGTGGTGATAATGGTGATGATGACGGTGGTGATGAAGATGGTGGTGATGGTGTAAGTAATGATTTTGATGATGATGATGATGATGATGATTACTAGTGGTGGTAATGATGATGGTGATGGTGGTGGTGATAATGATGGTGGTGGTGATGATGATGATGATGATGATGTTGATAATTACGGTGATGATGATGATGATGGTGGTAGTAATGATTTTGATGACCATGATGATGATGATTACTAGTGGTGGTAATGATGATGGTGATGATAATGGTGATGATGACGGTGGTGATGGTGATGGTGGTGGTGATGATGATGGTGGTGATGATAATGGTGATGATGACGGTGGTGATGAAGATGGTGGTGATGGTGTAAGTAATGATTTTGATGATGATGATGATGATTACTAGTGGTGGTAATGATGATGGTGATGATAATGGTGATGGTGGTGATGATGATGATGATAATGTTGATAATTATGGTGATGATGATGATGGTGGTAGTAATGATTTTGATGACGATGACAATGATGATGATTACTAGTGGTGTTAATGATGATGGTGATGATAATGGTGATGATGATGGTGATGGTGATGGTGGTGATGGTGGTGGTGATGGTGGTGGTGATGATGATGGTGGTGATGGTGGTAGTAATGATTTTGATGACGATGACAATGATGATGATTACTAGTGGTGTTAATGATGATGGTGATGATAATGGTGATGATGATGGTGATGGTGATGGTGATGGTGGTGATGGTGGTGGTGATGGTGGTGGTGATGATGATGGTGGTGATGGTGGTAGTAATGATTTTGATGACGATGATAATGATGATGATGATGATTACTAGTGATGGTGATGATAATGGTGATGATGATGGTCGTGATGATGATGGTCGTGATGGTGGTAGTAGTGATTCTGATGATGATGATTACTAGTGGTGGTAATGATGATGCTGATGATAATGGTGATGGTGGCGATGGTGGTGGTGATGGTGGTGGTGATGATGATGGTGGTGATGGTGGTAGTAGTGATTCTGATGATGATGATGATGATGACGATGATGATGATGATTACTAGTGGCGGTAATGATGATGGTGATGATGATGGTGGTGGTGATGATGATGGTAATGATGATGGTGGTGATGATGATGGTGGTGATGATGATGGTAAGGATGATGGTGGTGATGATGATGGTGGTGATAATGATGGTGGTGATAATGATGGTGGTGGTGATGATGATGATGATGATAATGTTGATAATTATGGTGATGATGATGGTGGTAGTAATGATTTTGATGACGATGATGTTGATGATGATGATGATTACTAGTGATGGTGATGATAATGGTGATGATGATGGTCGTGATGATGATGGTCGTGATGGTGGTAGTAGTGATTCTGATGATGATGATTACTAGTGGTGGTAATGATGATGCTGATGATAATGGTGATGGTGGCGATGGTGGTGGTGATGGTGGTGGTGATGATGATGGTGGTGATGGTGGTAGTAGTGATTCTGATGATGATGATGATGATGATTACTAGTGGCGGTAATGATGATGGTGATGATGATGGTGGTGGTGATGATGATGGTGGTGATGATGATGGTAATGATGATGGTGGTGATGATGATGGTGGTGATGATGATGGTAAGGATGATGGTGGTGATGATGATGGTGGTGATAATGATGGTGGTGATAATGATGGTGGTGGTGATGATGATGATGATGATAATGTTGATAATTATGGTGATGATGATGGTGGTAGTAATGATTTTGATGACGATGATGTTGATGATGATTACTAGCGGTGGTAATGATGATGGTGATGATAATGGTGATGGTGATTATGATGGTGGTGATAATGGTGGTGATGGTGGTGATAATGATGGTGGTGATGATGATCATGATGTTGATGATTATGGTGATGATGATGATGATGATGATGATGATGATTACTAGTGGTGGTAATGATGATGGTGATGATAATGGTGATGATGGTGGTGATGATGATGGTGGTGATAATGGTGATGATGATGATGGTGGTAGTAATGATTTTGATGATGATGATGATTAATAGTGGTGGTAATGATGATAATGGTGATGATGATGGTGGTGGTGATGATGATGGTGGTGGTGGTGGTGATGATGATGTTGGTGATGGTGGTGATGGTCATGGTGGTGATGGTGGTGGTGGTGATGATGATGTTGGTGATGGTGGTGATGGTGGTGGTGGTGATGATGTTGGTGATGGTGGTGATGGTGATCGTGGTGGTGATGGTGGTGATGATGGTGGTGGTGATGATGGTGGTGATGGTGAAGGTCCCAGAGTTCTGCTGCATCCAAACAGTCCATCAGAACCAGTAGTAATCATTATCAGCCGCTAATAAGAGCTTCCTAACAAGCGGAAGCCTCTGATTGGCTGATGGTGGAACTCCTTAACAAGCGCAAGCCTCTGATTGGCTGATAGTGAACCTCATTAGTCTCTAACAGACTCCATGTTTGTTTCTGCAGCTGAAGGAGAAGCAGGAAAGTCGACCCCTGCTGAGTCCCTCCATCGATGACTTCCTCTCAGAGAGCCGCAGTGACGCCTCCTCCAGCCAACCCCTGACCTCCAGCCGACCCCTGACCTCCAACACAGCAGGTAGCTTCAAATGTATTGCCCCTCCTCCTTAACCCCTGGACCGCTCAGATCAGCTGCAGGTGTCATGGTGGACATTAGGGAACCTCTGGATTCCTGTAATCCGGTCTGACCAGCAGAACCGGAACCAACTCTTAAGTGACCCACAAAGCTGGTTCTAGAGATCCAGCTCCGGTCCTCCTCATTCAGACCCAAACAGTTCTGTCTGGTTCCGAGTTGAAGTCACATCAGGTCCAGAATCCACCTGGACCTGGAAGTCCAGAACAGAAGCAGAACTCTGCAGGCCAGATGTTCAATCCTCCTGGGTTTAGATGAACGATCTCTGATCAGAACCCAGAGACAGCACCTGGAAATTTGGACTCTGTGTCCATCAGAACCAGCCCATCCTCCGGTCCTTCAGATTTAGCTGAACCCTCTGAACGGATCCGGTTCGGTAACATCTAGAAAATACTCTGTGTTCTGTTGCAGTTTTGGCAACGGCTCTGGACCTGGTGGACCTCAGCGACCCGCCTGAGACCCGTGAGCGCAGGGTGAGGAAGAGTCCGCTGAGGATGAAGGGCGGGTCCAGGAGTCCTCGACACAGAACCAGAACCGATGAGACAGAACTAACCCAGGTCCGAGTGGACCCCCTGCCCACCAGTCCCAGAACCCCTGAACGGATCTCTCTGGACTCAGGTAGGTTCTGGTAGCAGAGATCCAGACCGGTCTGGTTCAGGTAACCTCTGTCAGGTGTTCCGTTTGGACCCAGATCTGTGGGTGGGTTTCTCCGTCCTCCCAGAGTTCTGTTGTTGTGTTCTTCATCACCTAAACGTTAAAGTTCAGCCGTCGTTTGGAAGAAAGTCTGTTGAACAGTTTTTCTGGTCAGAACCAGAAGGATCCAGAAAATTTGGACCGTGTTCTGTTGGGTTTTTACTTTCAGCCCCTTTACTCTGCCCCGACTAAATAGAACCCAACAGAACACAATGGTTCCGTCTGCTTGGTTCCGTCTGGACCCCTCCGGTCCAGCAGGAGAACCACCCTGATATACGCTGAATGGGCCGGTAACGGCCTGGTCAAAGTCCTGAGCTAATTTGAGCAGCGAGTCGTTGTCAGAACCTGGAATGTGACGTTTCCAGATGTTCTCCATCCAGACTGCCTGAGCTGCAGATGTTTTAGATGAAAGGTTTCCATCTGTAGAGGGTCTGGGCTGGGAGAGAAGGAACCGCAGAGTTCTGACTGAAGACAATTGCCCTCCATGTTCAAGGGGGTGAATACTTTTTCTGGCTCCTTTTCCAGACAGGAAGCAGCAATGGATGCAGCTACCTGTTCGCCATGAGGCCCTGCAGAGCCCAGATCAGAGGATTCATTTAGCTGAAAGCTTGAGTTCACCGAGTCGTGAGGAGCGCTTTAATCTGAGCTTTTACTTTGATGAGAACTTCCTGTTTTAGAGCTGTGGTGACCTCTGACCTGTGACCCGTGTCTGTGTGCTGGATCTGCTCTCATCCGTGTTTGATGTTGTTTACAGTCAGCCTGTCGTCTCCTCTGGACAAATGGGACGAGGTCCAGCAGGACTCGGAGGACGGAGGAGAAGGCAGGAGACGATGCCAGACCAGATGCACCTCCCAGCACTCCTCCAGTGAACTGCTGTGGTAACGCTTCCCTCCCCAGACACTTCCTTTATATCCACCATGATGTTCACAAACGCTACCTTCACACTGCAGGCCCTGATGCTCAATTACCATTTTTTTGTGAAATCCGAAATTCGCATTTCCAAGTACTTGTACATAGAAATACTGGTATGTGATCTACTGTGTGAACTTCAACCTAAGTGTCCCACATGCGCAGTAGAGGACGCCATGACGTCACAAGCCAGCGTGCTCTGTGTCCAGAAACCGGATGTGGTTCACTTCAGGCTGCTGTGTGAACGTAGCTTAATCTCCATGGTGACGTGTGGAGAACCACAGGGTTTGGTTCTCGAGTCGCTCCTCTTTTTACCGTATTTATGCTTCTGCTTGGTGATAAATTGACGGTACTTTGCTTTATTTTTCCATAAATCAGAAAACTGAATCAGTTTAAGGATAGAAATAAAAATGTGAATATTTTCTCCAGCTGCCTATAGGGGGCAGCAACACTCACTTTGTCTGTCTCCAGGTCTGCAGAGTTTAAAACTGAACCCCTGACAAAGAACAGCATGGACGTCCACAGCCTGGACGACCTGGACTTCATATCTCTCACACAGGTCAGTGTCGCCCCCTTAAGGTCGCAGCTGAAACAGAAACCTTCTGATCATCTCATCCGGCGGCCATTAAACACTCAGCTACTTTAAAACATCAGAGATGTTTCTGTATGAAAGAAGAGATTTCCTGGAATCAGTGAGCTGCCAGCTTAGAGCCATGCTAACCGTATGCTGTGAGCGGACAGGACACGTCCTCGGAGGGAGACGGTGTCCAGTTCCTCTGACCATCAGGCCTGTAGATCAGGGAGTTAGAGCTGCGGCGTCTGCTGATAGAAGCAGCTTTGACTTTGATCCTAACTTTCCTCCCTCTGTGTGTTTCCAGGACAGCAGCGTGTCCAGATTTCGCAGACGGACTCGCTCTCTGCTGGTCGGGAACGAGTCTCCAGAGGACGAGTTTGTCCGAGCGAAGGCTGCAGTCGAGGTAAAGGTCACAGACCCCCCCACCCCCTCCCAGTCTCTCCATAGACCTGCTGATAGGACCTGTTATTGCAGGGACTCCCTGTGTCCTCAGAGCCGCCACCCATTCATTGCAGAACAGACTCCTGCGCCCTACACCAACCAAACGGAAACAGCTCAGTCAAAGCTTAGAGACGGATCGGATAAAAGTTTAATATCTAAGGAAACCCGGCTGATATTTTCCTAAAACAGTAACAACAAAAAACAAAGAGAAAATTAAAGTCAGAAGTAGAACTTGTGCAGCACTTTATTGGAGCAAATAGAGGAAAAGGGGTCCCTATGTCCTCCAGCAGTCTAAGCCTATAGCAGCAGAACTATAGAGATAGATCAGGATAACCTGAGCCACTCTAACTAGAAGCTTTATCAGAAAGGAAAGTTTTAAGCCTAGTGGATTAAAACTGTGGAACTGTGGACCAGGTACTTATCCTCTGACACAGGTCCTATTCTGGAATAGTTAGAGCTTATTCTGTTATGGCTCTAATCTTTAAATGATCTCTGCATGCTTCTGCTGTCCTGAAATCAACAGCAGAAGCTCTGCGGAGGATAAAGTTTCTGAATAACTGCAGTAGTTGGTTCTCCAGCTGGAACCTCCAGAGATGTTCTGCTGGTTCCGTTCCTGTAAACGTTTATCATTTCCATTAGGTGACATGGGCCGGGTGGGTCAGGTTTCAGCTCTGATGATGATGATGATGATGATGATGATGGTGATGATGATGATGATGATGATGGTGATGATGATGATGATGATGATGATGATGATGATGATGATGATGATGATGATGATGATGATGGTGTCTAAAGGAGAGACCAAGGTGAGGCAGTGATTTGATTAAATTGCAGATTTTCCTCTCTGACTGGTAATCTGAGCTTTTCCATCGATTGGTTCGAGCTCTTTAATCTGCCGGCTCGGCTGGCTGACCAATCATAGCGCTGCGGCCGGCTGACCAATCACAGCGCGGCTGCTGGCTGACCGATCACAGCGCTGCGGCCGGCTGACCAATCACAGCGCGGCTGCTGGCTGACCGATCACAGCGCTGCGGCCGGCTGACCGATCACAGCGCTGCGGCCGGCTGACCGATCACAGCGCTGCGGCCGGCTGACCGATCACAGCACTGCGGCCGGCTGACCAATCACAGCGCGGCTGCTGGCTGACCGATCACAGCGCTGCGGCCGGCTGACCGATCACAGCGCTGCGGCCGGCTGACCGATCACAGCGCTGCGGCCGGCTGACCGATCACAGCACTGCGGCCGGCTGACCAATCACAGCGCTGATGTTCTGCTGGAGGCTGAGGAAGCTGCTGAAGGAGCGAATCGGATCAAACATCAGCAGAAAGCACAGATCCACGCTGCCTAGAACCCAGCGCTCCCAGTCTGAGCAGGACGTGTTCCGATCCGACCACACGGATCAGGTTCTGATGGAACCAGAACATTTCCGTCTTAGATTACTTTCTCACTTTGTAACTGAAGAGGTTCATGTTCCAATGGGAGGAAGCAGTTGACCTGACTCAGCAGGTTCTGGATTTACCGGGCCTTAAAGTCCCGTCAGGTCATTGGGCAGAACCAGACCCGAGTTCTTGTGGCTGAAGAGGTTTAATCAGAACCCTTTTCTCTCTTCTCTAAGCCAGTTTGTTCAGGAAGCTTGGGGACGTTTGTAGATCAGGAATTTCCAGATCTGCTCGTAGAACTGAAGCATTAGCTTCTCCTTCCTGTTCTTCTCTGACTCCCAGACATCTGTGGAGGTTTCCTACATCTTCTAAATGCTTCCTGGTTCCAGCAGCCGATGGGTTAACCATCAGCCTGTTTCAGAACCAGGAGCTGATCCAGTTCTAGGGAGCAGAGCTGGAGTCATGCTGCAGTGACTTCTATCTGTCAGGAGGAGGCGTAGTTCTGCAGTCTGAGCCAAGAAGGTGTTTCACCCACTGATCTATATTTATTGCTGATATCTCCCACGTAGATGCACCCTAAAAATGCCTCCATGTGCAGCATTTGGCTGCAGAATCCAGCAGTTTTCTGTCTGCAGGAAGACGTTCCACTGGTAATTTCCCAGTCAGTGGATGAACTAACCAGTAAATCCATCTATAGCTGATGGATCCTGTAGTATAGTCTGTAGACTAACATTAGACTGGCTATCTGGGACTGACTGGAAGACATTGACTGAGTTAGACACTGACATTGGGTCTAAGGTTAGACGTCCTGTTCAAGGGGAGTTTTTCCTCTCCACTGTCGCTACAAGCATGCTTAGTGTGAGGGATTGCTGAAGACTCAATGAGTCGATGCAATCAGCTGGTTTTCCTTAGATAGAAAACTGGTGTGAGTCAAAGGGATGAATTTATCTTTATTGATCTTTATTAATCTTCAGTCCCCCTGAAGATGAGAACATCATCGCTGATGCTGTAGAGCACTGATTGTTTACATTGAGACCGGTCTAACTAGGGAGTACCAATATGGCGGCCGCTGGCTAAAATTCAACCCTGTACTACCAACGGTTAATCAGCGATCCAGGGAATAATCTGTGGTTTCACCAGGAGGAGGTGATCCTGAGCAGGTCCAGGTTCTGCTCCTGTGGGCGGGTCCTTCAGAACCAAAGTGTTCCTCTGTTCTCCCCGCAGTCGGACACGGAGTTCTGGGACAAGATGCAGGCGGAGTGGGAAGAACTGGCCCGGAGGAACTGGCTGGAGGAGTCGGAGAGTCAGCAGAAGCCCATCCCACCGTCCGTTTCTCCTGTGGAGAAGGTAACGCCGATGATGTCACCACATCAGAACCACTTCCCAGCATGCTCTCTGGTTCCTGCTGACAGATTATCTCTGAGTTAATCTGCAGCTTTAATCCTGAGTTCTGACATGGTCCCGCAGCCCTAATCCTCCATCAGGTGTTACATCACCACGGCAACGGAGGTGAGCTGCACTGATGTGCAGCATCTGCTCACACGTGTGGCCGCCTTTGTTCTTTTTCTGCAGACCACCAACTTCCTGCTGGTTTTTCAGAATAAAAGCTCAGAAAACAAAGGTTTTATTTCTGAGCAGCAGGTTGGGTGGAAGCCTCCTCCTGGGGGTTCTGGTTCGGTTCTAGAGGTTAGGGTTCTCCTGTCCCTCCGCTGTGTCTGATCTCTGGGATGTTCTGCAGGGTTACTACTTCAGCACCACCAATCCATTCAGAGACCAACCCAACGCATTCATTGAGGGTCAGGAGAAAGCTCGCCAAGGAGACCTGAACGCCGCCGTCCTGCTGCTGGAGGCCGCCATCCTGCAGGACCCCAACGATGCCGAGGTGAGTTCCGGTAGTGTTTCAGCCTGCTGACCCGGTTCTGGTGGGTGTTTGGTGTGACGGTGGACTCTGTGGTCTTTCAGGCCTGGCAGATGCTGGGGACGACCCAGGCTGAGAACGAGAACGAGCAGGCCGCCATCGCGTCCCTGCAGAGGTCAGACGCCTCCATCAGCCTCCAGGTGTGAGCGGCGCTAATGAAGGTAGCTAACTGTTCCCCTGCTGCAGGTGCCTGGAGCTCCGGCCCAACAACCTGCAGGCCCTCATGGCGCTGGCCGTCAGCTTCACCAACGGCGGCCTGCTGAGGGAGGCCTGTGACGCTCTGCGCCGCTGGATCCGCCACAACCATCGATACAGGCACCTGGTCCAGGACAGCAGGGGCCCCACCTCACCAGCCAGGGGCCAGGCCTCACCGGGCAGGGGCCCCGGCTGCTCCACACCTGCAAGGTAACCACACACCTGGACAGGAGGTCAAACGTAGACCAGGGAGGAGAAAAAGTGAAAAGAGTTTGTATACGGGGTAGAGATGTCCTGATCCAGGTTTTTGCACTTCCGATCCGATACCGATATTGTTTTTGCACTTCCGATCCGATACCGATACTGGCCGATACCAGCCTATCCGAGCATGTATTTAAGTTTAAGTTAAAGTATTTAGCCTTAGTTGTAAGACTCATGTTGAAAAGGGTTTTAGTACTCTTGATAACATCTAGCCAGCTGAATTAGGTGAGATTGAATAAAACACAATGATTGGTAACAACAAACTTACCTGTTTATTAAAGGGATAGTTCGGTATTTTTGACATGAATCTGTATGGCATCCCCATCACCAGTGTCATGCAATCACACTGACTTACCCCTGGCAGCGTCCTGTGAGCAGAGTTCTCGTCCAGCTTTGGTCAAGCCAAAAGTAGTCCGGCAGGTTTTTAGGAACAGCGAAATAAAACTTTTCTCTTCCCAAAACATTATGTGTTCAAAAGAGCGATATTTTTGCCAGGGGTAAGTCAGTGTGATTGCATGCCACTGGTGATGGGGATGCCATACAGATTCATGTCAAAAATACCGAACTATCCCCTTAAGAGATAAACACAAACTGGACAAAATTATTAATAGCAATCTGAAATTGCACAGTGAACAGTAAAACCGTAAACAGTTAAAGGTGCAAGTATTACTGTAAGTTTTAATAAAAATGCAAAACAGGGAAACACTGGCGCAAAATAGTGGAATGGATCGTTTCAATCGGCGAAACTGGAAAATACGCACCGGATTTTAAAAAAAAAACTGGATCGGCAGTCTGGATCGGCATTTTACATGCTTTGCCGATACGCATTTTTCTGCCAATATCGGCGTCCCGATCCGATCCACGTATCGGATCGGGACAAGCCTAATACGGGGCCCTGAAGATGGATGCAGGTCAGGGGCCGCGTCTGGGAACCCAGAAGGGACACAGTTTGAATCCCCTTCTCAGACAGCTGGGGGCCCAAGAGCAGGACAGAGGCCGGATCTTCTCCTTCAGAGCTGATAGAAGAGGCAGGTCAGGATGTAATGGCCCCCAGAAAGGGCCCCCCCTGTCCGCATACACACCTCACCCAGACCCTCACACCACTGGGTTAACCTAGGAGCGCTTTGATCAGCATCACATGTTCACGCTGAGGCCAAACAGCAAAGGTAAACTGGTTATAAACCCAGGATCACAGCAAATTACATTATTTATTAAAGGAATTATTCAAGATTACAGCAGGAAGTTCCATGAGTTTACTTTTTATTAACTGAGTTCACTTTTTATTAACTGAGTTCACTTTTTATTAACTGAGTTCACTTTTTATTAACTGAGTTCACTTAAAATCTGTGTTTCACTGCGAGTACCAACCAATAGGGCACTGATACCATATTGAGAGCCCAAAGTTTCTTCAACTATTGTCGCCCATTCCAGGTAGGATATATAAAGTTCTACTGGATTCTCTTAGTTTTAGTCTTTTTGCTGCTTCTCAAAGGAAGGCAGCAGCTGGACATGAAGCCATGATGGTGATTATTTTACATCCCAGTAGAATGCAGTTCTTCATTTATACACACATCCATTTCAAACTGATGGTGTCGGTATGGACCAATAGTGCACAGCCAGGTATCAGGTATCAATGCAAAATCACTTAGATAGAAAAAACAAACTTCCTGAGGTTCTGGTCCATCTTCACGGGGGATGGGGGGGGGGGGGGGGCACATTTCCATTAACTGCGACACACGCAGACGACCTGGTCTCTGCGTATAAACCAGCCTTAAGAGTTCAGCTGTGGACAGGATCAGGTTATTAGTGTTTCTACTATAAATTATACAATATTTTATGTATTTTATAATTAATATCCGTAAATAAAAATGTATTAAAGGAGAAGTCTGTTCATCGAGGAATAATCAATGGATCATTGTTTACACCTAAAACTAATACGTTTGCTGTGATTTAAGGAATTTAGCCTAAATCAGTATAAAAAAAATATAATTTTCGTCACGATCACTGCACTGCAAAAAAAATGTTAATCTAAATAAGTAAATTTTTTTTTTTAAATAAGAGCATTTTATCTTGAATTGAGGAGGAAATTGAGACACTTTAGAACCAGACAAATTAGGTTTAAAATAAGAAAGAACATTAGTATTGTCTTATTTCAAGTGAATATTCTAATTATCTTATTTTAAGAGTAAAAAATCTTATTCCATTGGCAAATCATCTTATTTACATAATCAAATTAAGGGTAAATTAATTTATTTCTAGATAGTTTTTGCAGTGTGAGTCTGGGAGCGGCCATTTTTGCCCAAATCTAGTAACCCCTCCCTCCTGCCATCTTCCAGCAGTGACGTCACGGTGCGGTAAGCCTAGCGCCATACTCCCCGCTTTCCAAGCTAAATCAATGGGAACTACTAGACACATCTGCAATCAACAACAATTATTGAAGATTTCCAGAGGACTTCACCATTGAAATTCACCAGAGCTATAGTGAAACTGACAATGCCCACGTGCATGGCAGCTGGATGCTGGAATACATCGGGTAAAAGTGGAAAAAAGAGTTATTCCACCTTTCTGATACCGCACCGTGACGTCACTAACCAGTAGGTGGCAGTAGTGTTCTTTGACAAACATGGATGCCTCCAGTAAAGCACATTCACATGAAAATTACTCTGAATTAAAAACACTGATAATTTATTGAACAGGATGGAATCATTTCAGATTTAAAGAACTTTCAGAAGTTTGGATTCTGAATCTGAACAGATTTTTCCTTTAAATATCACTAGAATATTTTACCTTAAATTGTATCTATTTATCACTTCTCCAATGTTGTTCAAATATTCCACTTCAGGAGCTCCCTAGATGCTGTTTATTTATTGTTCATTAAAATAAATCTCTGGATGCTTTAAATGCAGCACAAATATCCACCGGCTGTCATATCTGCTTTATCTCCTCTCATCTCGGTGCTGCAGCCGCCATATCTGAGAACCTGCTGACTGACTCTGGTTACGTTTTTGCTTCATCATGTAATTAAACTGAGCAAACAGAAGGCAGCAATCACACCATGATCAGGTGTGCCTTAAACTGTGAGCATGTATGACAGCTGGGCTGTTAGAAACTGATCTGATTTTCTCCGGGGGGCGCTATAACTATAGATGTATACCAAAAACCAATCAAACATATACTAAGTTATCACACCAGTATATGAATATACTGCGTGCAGTTAGCCTTCGCTGCGTGCAGTTAGCCTCGCTGCGTGCAGTTAGCCTTCGCTGCGTGCAGTTAGCCTCGCTGCATGCAGTTCGCCTTGCTGCGTGCAGTTAGCCTCGCTGCGTGCAGTTAGCCTCGCTGCGTGCAGTTAGCCTTTGCTGCGTGCAGGTGGCCTCGCTGCGTGCAGTTAGCCTCGCTGCGTGCGGTTCGCCTTGCTGCGTGCAGTTAGCCCTGCTGCATGCAGTTAACCTGGCTGCGTGCAGTTAGCCTCGCTGCGTGCAGTTAGCCTTCGCTGCGTGCAGTTAGCCTTTGCTGCGTGCAGTTAGCCTCGCTGCGTGCGGTTTGCCTTGCTGCGTGCAGTTAGCCCTGCTGCATGCAGTTAGCCTTCGCTGCATGCAGTTAGCCTTTGCTGCGTGCAGTTAGCCTCGCTGCGTGCAGTTAGCCTCGCTGCGTGCAGTTAGCCTTCGCTACATGCAGTTAGCCTTCGCTGCGTGCAGTTAGCCTTTGCTGCGTGCAGGTGGCCTCGCTGCGTGCAGTTAGCCTCGCTGCGTGCAGTTAGCCTTCGCTGCGTGCAGTTAGCCCTGCTGCATGCAGTTAGCCTTCGCTGCGTGCAGTTAGCCTTCGCTGCATGCAGTTAGCCTTCGCTGCGTGCAGTTAGCCTCGCTGCGTGCAGTTAGCCTCGCTGCGTGCAGTTAGCCTTCGCTACGTGCAGTTAGCCTTCGCTGCGTGCAGTTAGCCTTTGCTGCGTGCAGGTGGCCTCGCTGCGTGCAGTTAGCCTCGCTGCGTGCAGTTAGCCTTTGCTGCATGCAGTTCGCCTCGCTGCGTGCAGTTAGCCTTCGCTACGTGCAGTTAGCCTTCGCTGCGTGCAGTTAGCCTTTGCTGCTTGCAGGTGGCCTCGTTGCTGCAGTTAGCCTCGCTGCGTGCGGTTCGCCTTCGCTGCGTGCAGTTAGCCTTTGCTGCATGCAGTTAGCCTTCGCTACGTGCAGTTAGCCTTCGCTGCGTGCAGTTAGCCTTCGCTACGTGCAGTTAGCCTTCGCTGCGTGCAGTTAGCCTTTTCTGCGTGCAAGTGGCCTCGCTGCGTGCAGTTAGCCTCGCTGCGTGCAGTTAGCCTTCGCTACGTGCAGTTAGCCTTCGCTGCGTGCAGTTAGCCTTTGCTGCGTGCAGGTGGCCTCGCTGCGTGCAGTTAGCCTCGCTGCGTGCGGTTCGCCTTCGCTGCGTGCAGTTAGCCTTTGCTGCATGCAGTTCGCCTCGCTGCGTGCAGTTAGCCTTCGCTACGTGCAGTTAGCCTTCGCTGCGTGCAGTTAGCCTTTGCTGCTTGCAGGTGGCCTCGTTGCTGCAGTTAGCCTCGCTGCGTGCGGTTCGCCTTCGCTGCGTGCAGTTAGCCTTTGCTGCATGCAGTTCGCCTCGCTGCGTGCAGTTATCCTTTGCTGCGTGCAGGTGGCCTCGCTGCGTGCAGTTAGCCTCGCTGCGTGCAGTTAGCCTTCGCTACGTGCAGTTAGCCTTCGCTGCGTGCAGTTAGCCTTTTCTGCGTGCAAGTGGCCTCGCTGCGTGCAGTTAGCCTCGCTGCGTGCGGTTCGCCTTCGCTGCGTGCAGTTAGCCTTTGCTGCATGCAGTTCGCCTCGCTGCGTGCAGTTAGCCTTTGCTGCATGCAGTTCGCCTCGCTGCGTGCAGTTAGCCTTCGCTACGTGCAGTTAGCCTTCGCTGCATGCAGTTAGCCTTTGCTGCGTGCAGGTGGCCTCGTTGCTGCAGTTAGCCTCGCTGCGTGCGGTTCGCCTTCGCTGCGTGCAGTTAGCCTTTGCTGCATGCAGTTCGCCTCGCTGCGTGCAGTTATCCTTTGCTGCGTGCAGGTGGCCTCGCTGCATGCAGTTAGCCTTGCTGCGTGCAGTTAGCCTTCGCTACGTGCAGTTAGCCTCGCTGCGTGCAGTTAGCCTCGCTGAGTGCAGTTAGCCTTCGCTACGTGCAGTTAGCCTTCGCTGCGTGCAGTTAGCCTTTTCTGCGTGCAGGTGGCCTCGCTGCGTGCAGTTAGCCTCGCTGCGTGCGGTTCGCCTTCGCTGCGTGCAGTTAGCCTTTGCTGCATGCAGTTCGCCTCGCTGCGTGCAGTTAGCCTTCGCTACGTGCAGTTAGCCTTCGCTGCGTGCAGTTAGCCTTTGCTGCGTGCAGGTGGCCTCGCTGCGTGCAGTTAGCCTCGCTGCGTGCGGTTCGCCTCCGCTGCTTGCAGTTAGCCTCGCTGCATGCAGTTCGCCTCGCTGCGTGCAGTTATCCTTTGCTGCGTGCCGTTAGCCTAGCCTTGGAGGTAAACCAGGTGCTGTAAAAAGGCAAAGTGAACCGTCTCCCTCTGTCTTTGGACTGATGATTAATATTGATGTTCAGAGATGATCAGAGATCAGGTCCAAACAGTTTCACCTCCAGCTTCTCTCGGTACGTTTGCTTCCCTCCGTGACTCGACGTGTCAATCACCCGCACGACAACTGTTGCGAAAGTTCTTCCACCTCAGGGCGTAGCTTTGGTGCACACAGAGCTGTCCTATCCTTCTGTATTGCAGAGGAGCTGCTGCACATGGACAACTTTTAATGTGAATATTATGGATGTTTTAGATGTATTATGGATATAGGTCTATAATTGACCAAGTCATCTGGGTCAAGACACGGTTTCTTAAGCAGAGGTTTAATTCCAGCAGGTTCTGTTTGCTTTGTTCTGAATCAGAAATCTGTGTTTCAGTGTGGAGCTGCAGGACGTCCTGCTGCTGTTCCAGGAGGCGGTTCTGCTGAACGTGGACGGCGTGGACCCGGACCTGCAGACCGGACTGGGCGTCCTCTACAACCTGAGCTCCGAGTTTGACAAGGCGGTGGAGGCCTTCAGCGCGGCGCTGTCTGTCAGACCTCAGGTAGCCCCGCCGCTGCTGGTTCTGGTTCTGGTTCTGTTTGCTCTGAGTCTGATTGTCCCGGTTGTCCCGTCCAGGACTACCTGCTGTGGAACCGGCTGGGAGCGACGCTGGCCAACGGGAACCGCAGCCAGGAGGCGGTGGAGGCCTACAGCCGGGCCCTGGAGCTGCAGCCCGGCTTCATCCGCTCCAGGTACAACCTGGGCATCAGCTGCATCAACCTGGGAGCTCACAGGTACCTGCGCCGCCCGCTCCCCCCGTCTGCTGGGGACCGGCTCCCGTCTGACCCGGTTCTGGTTCTGGTTCTGCAGGGAGGCCGTCAGTAACTTCCTCACGGCTCTGAACCAGCAGAGGCGGAGTCAGAGCTGCAGCCAGCAGCAGATGTCGGCCAACATCTGGGCCGCCCTGCGCATCGCCATCTCCATGATGGACCGCCCCGAGCTGTTCCAGGCCGCCAACATGGGGGACCTGGACCTGCTGATGGCAGCCTTCCAGGTGGGGGACCTGTGATGGGCCCCCAGGGGCCCACAGACACCAGGACGGCTGCAGCTTCTCAGCACAACCCTTTATTTAACCCGGAGCTTCAGCCGCAGCGCCGCCGGCCCTGGATCCAGGAGCGCAGAAGAACCCGACCCGCTGATCCACTGTCAGCTGGACCCAAATGTTCATCAGAACCTCCATTGTTCCTTCAACTTACCCAGACCTCCAGTCAGTTAAAGGTTCTACTTCCCAGAGCTCCTGAAATGATGATGAGGAGAGAGGAAGACCTTCAAGGAGCTGATTGGCTGATCAGGAAATGAGCTCATAAACCTCCTTAGAATTATTCTATGGAAACCAGATAAACTTTTTCATCCCCATAGGCATGGGGGGTTCTAGACAGGGGCCCCTGTAGAACAGGTTCTGGCCCCTGACCTGCAAACCTAAATCGATTTGTTACGATATGAAAGGATGGAAACAAGTCGTCCTTTGGACTCATTGAAACTGAGAAAGAATCACAGTTTTCTGGATCAGGGGTCCTCAAAGTGGGGGGGCCGGGAACCTGGGGGGGGTCTTCAGACACCAAGTGAGGGGTCACCAGCTGATTTTCACAATCACTGTGATCCCTGAGAAATACGGGGAGCCTAAATCCATCAATCAATAAATAGATTTTATTTATTTAGCCGTCTCTAATACAAGATTCAAATACGACATTTTTAAAATGCACAATTAAAGATTTAAATGTAATTAAATAATTGAATACCGTAAATCCTCTAATATAGGCCGGGGCCTTTAATTCACTCAGGTACATCTCGGTCCTGGACATTATTGGAAGGAGGCCAGAATTAGAGGCAGGCCTCTATTTCTATTTGGTCAAAGCAGACGACCAGTGGAATGAATAAAAACAGATACTGTGTCTCTATGAAGCTATAAAATACGAGATTCATTTATTGAAAAACTACAGTTACCATAATGATACACAGAACATTATTCAGACATCTTCCAGCAGCTGCTATTTTTCTGCACGGCAATAAGAAAAAACAGCCGACACAGAGTGGAATCTCGGCCAAACCGACTTATTAAACAAAGTAAAAAAAGAACGAGTAAAGAGTTACTGGAAACTGGAGATTCAGAACAACGAAGGCCAACGAGTCATTTTAACGAGGATCACCTGAAAGCAAACTAATTTTTAACATTTTCCATAGTGATAATTATTCATAACAAAAACTCAAATTGTCGTGTTTAGTTTGAAGTAAAAAAAATAAATAAATCCTCCAGTTCCGTTGAATGCTTCTCCTCCTCTTCATCTCTCCCTGTAGTCTCCTCATAACTGGCCCCAGTCTCTGCACCAAGTTCATTGTACGGTTCTTCTTCATCGTCCTCATGTTCTGCTGCGGTTCTGTTCTCTTCCTCGTGCAGACGGCCAGCAGTCGGCCTGTCGTCCATGGCCTGGCTGTCCTCTGAAGCACAGTATGAGGTCGTCCTCCCTCCTGTCTGCTTTCACAGACTGCCCACACACTTTGAAGGACTCGATGATCAGGTCCTTGTCCAACTTGTCCCGAGCAGCGAGAACCCAGTCCAGAAGCAGACGGCGGGATGGTGCTTCTAGGTTCCTCCACTTGTATTGCTAGTCTATGTCCCCAGCAGACCACCCATCATAGGAAACATGTAGGCTGGCTTTGAATGGCTGCTTCCATGTGACATCGGGGGCTTGCACAGACGTAGTGCAGCCTCCTGGGATCACTGCGATTACGATATTGTAGTTCTTCAATTCCTGTTTGTTAGAGGCGCTGATGTCACAGCGGTAGGAATCCACCAGCAGGCGCGGGCGAAAGCTGACTCTGCCTTCCACTGAGCTGAGCCATGCTGTGGTCAGGTCGTCATTCATCCAGCCGTTGACAGATGTGGCGATGGCTGCTCCTGAGATGTCCTGCTGCATTGCCTTCTCTTCACGGATGGCCCCCAGAAGATGACAAAGGCCTGAGTTTACTGCCACCAGCCTTGGCAGCAAGGACAACAGTGAGGTGGCTTTTCTCTGGCTTGTTGTTTTCAGCGCATCGCTCTTCGTCCCTCTTACATCAGTGGTAGTGGAAGACACCATATCGAACCATACAGCAGTCTCATCCATTGATATTACGTCCTTCTCTAAAATCCTTTTCGAGACGACAGTCTTGCACACGTAGTCGACAAATGAGACACGCTTCTCTCTCTGGGTGCTTCTGAGCCATTGTGGGGCGGCGTCGCAATGCTAGGCCATTTCAGTTTAAAAACTTTTGCGACTAACCCCTGCTAGCAAGAAATTGTGTCACTGTAGGGTAGATTTCCAGAGCCTTGTTTGGGATCATTGCTCTCGACACTCGGTTATGTCTGTCCCTCATTGAATTGATCCAGTCAGAGAGTTTTGTGTCCTGCTAACCTTTTTCCTCCCTCCTCCTGGCAGTCTTGCTCTATTCTTGTTTGCTGCAACTAGATCCATTTCCTGCCTTTTCCAGTATCTTATTGTTTACGGGTGAATGTTAAAATGTTTAGCAGCTTGCTTCCCAGAGTGCTCTGCAGCATATTTCAGCACGTTCTCTATGAACTGGATGTCAAATTTTCGTCTCTTTTCTGCCATGGTAAACTGAAACTGAAGTCTACCGTTTGAGTACAGAGCAGGTTGATGACCAAGCTACTGTAGCTGAGTTACCTGGTTACCACCAGACCACCTTCCCATGCTAATGGCTTGGATTGGTTAGCAAACACTGCCCCCCTGTGGTATGTGTATGTTACAATCACAAGTTGCTGAGGACTGCCCTGGAACATCGTTGGTTCTAATTAAAGTCCGGCCATTATTTACCTCCACCGACAGCGAGACAGACCATTATTAGAGACCCGGCCGCTAATGGAACACAGGCCAATATTAGAGGATTTACGGTAATTTAATATATACTTTAGGAAAGTCTATTTATAAATGAATATACTTTTATTTCTATGGGGGAATGAATATAGAGTGAAGTTATTTTATATATTTTAGAGGCTCTCCAGTGTTTTTTGGGACCCTTGTTCCACATCAAACATTTGCAGCTTTAGTTTTGTGGCTCGCTCACTATCCTAAGTGATGCACCACACTATGTGTGTTTTTGTTTTGTTTTGTTGGGCCCCACCATGGCCCCCTGGTAGATTCAGCTAGAACTACCCCTGCCCATGGGGGGAGGGGGACTTTTATTTATTTATTTTTTCAGCAGCCAGACTTCTTCTAATAACCTCATTTATAGAGGATAAATAAATAGCATGGACATATAATCAAGGAGGAAACATTTTCATTTAATCTAGTTCAGAACAATTAAAGTTTACAGACTTTAAAATGTCTCATTAATAAACATTTGGAAAAGTTACCAAACTCTATATCAGTAGAAAGTGCAGACCAGAGGAGTCCAGTGTGTCTGAAATACTGCAGGACGTTGGAAATGCGGTGGATTGGTGATGATGTCATCAGGTTGAGGTTGCCGCTCTGAGAGCGTTGATCATTGCAGGGCGGTTCTGGCAGCAGGTCCACTGACCCGCTCAGCTCCTCTACTCTCCTCCACCAGCTGCACCAACAGCAGCTCATCGTTCCAGTCCAGTTTTTCTCCATATTTGGTCGTTTCTCCAAGTCAAACCACTTTATACCAGCAGCCAATCAGGGTGAAGCTCCAACAGGTGAGCAAACCAAACAATAAGCCAATCAGAACCATGATCAGTGATGCTTGTTCTGATATAACGCACTGTCATGTCAGAAGACGAAGCGCTTTACTCTACATTCACTCACTGATGGTGGTGAGCTACGCTGTAGCCACAGCTGCCCTGGGGCTCGCTGACAGAAGCCAGGCTGCCGTACGCTGGCCCCACCGGGCCCTCTGCACCGGGCCCCCTGCACCGGCCCCTCTGCACCGGGCCCCCTGCACCGGCCCCTCTGCACCGGGCCCCCTGCACCGGGCCCTCTGCACCGGCCCCTCTGACCACCATCAGTAGACAATGCATGTGAAGTATCACAACCACACTAAAAGCTGGAGCCGGGTCTCGAACCGACAACCCTTTACCACATAATGTTCCAACATTTAGAGCGGCCCCCCAGGTCAGGCCGGAGGTGACGGTTAGCAACGAGACATTTAGCAGGTTCTGTAGCTAAGGAGACTGGAGTCCTCTGATATTTACCTGAACATCTATGCTACACACATCTATATCTGCGTATCTTTAATGGAGATAGATCAGTATCACATAGAGTGAAGCCAACATATTCAGTCCTTAGATAGTAGACCATCAGAGCTGGTTGGTTCTTCAGGGCCCGGCCCAGCTGCATCCAGCAGGTTCTGTCAGTTCTCTTCTTCCAGATGTTCTGGTTTTGAGATTATTGGAGTTTTGCCGTCCTGCTGATCGGTTCTGTTAGTTATTGGACTGAACCAGGAACTAAAGCATTTAAAGTACATAGACCGGACTGGAATTGTTCTCCAGAACCAACCTTATTGTTCCAGTTTGTTCCAAAAACAAGGAATTCTGGTGTCGGTTCTGGTTCTGGAGGCAAACCTGGGCTCCAGGTTCCTGTGATCCACCTGCCTGAAGGTAGAACTTTGACCCGATCAAGTCCAGTTGGTGCTGAGCATCTGGAGGAACCGGGTCTGATGTGTGGAAGCAAAGCTAGAACATAAACCATCCAAATAATCAAGTTTTCCTTCAACAATGATTCCTGTTTTTTGCTTTGCAGACGATTCGCTGATTTATCTTCGTTTTCATCGCTGGTTCCCCAAAACTCTGCTACCTTAAAATAAAGACTGTTCCTCTTTAGATGAACCCACTGATTTCTTTCTGTTCCTCCGTCAGAAATGGTTTGGATCCTTCCTCCCAATCAGAGAAACCAGGAAATAGAACCGAATAGACCAGAATAAAACATCAGCATAGAAACACTTTACTGCCTGCTGAATCCACCGGAGGAGTTCTCAACATCTGTTTGATCTGATTGTTGAAACATCTGCCCAGCAGCCTCTAAGGCTACGTTCCCACTGCAGGTCTTGATGCTCAATTCCATTTTTTTTTTTTTATTCCATTTTTTTGCGTTGCCGTTCATATTTCCAGATATGTGCGACCTGTATGTGATCTCCTGTGTTAACATGCAGACAACGCAACTGGCCTGCATGCGCAGTAGAAGACGCAGTGACATCACAAGCCAGCATGCTCTGTGTTTAGGAAGTAAATATGGATGGTAGTGCTGGAGAACATCTCAACCTTAGCCCGTGCAGTAAGCAATCATTTCAAGATGGTTGAAGCTAAATACTGATCTCTGCATCATCGTCTGCCATGGTTGTTTTTCTTGCTGCTTCTGCATAGCAAGAAAAGTGACCTTTGTCGGGTATTAATGGTGTTCAGGTCGGATGGATGCGACCTGGCCGTTCAGACGCAGGTCGCATTTGAAAAGATCAGATTCGTACGGATTCCGGACCGCAGAGCCAAGTGTTCTGGGTCGCTTTGGACAAAATCGGATCTTTTATGTTCAGACTGTCATGAAAAGATCAGATCCAGGCAGCATGGGTCACTTCAGGCTGCTGGGTAGCCTAGTTTCGGTTCTGCCTTTGGGCTGTTTGTGCTTCAGGAATCAAACCGACCACCTGATTTAAACCAGTCTAGGAGCGCCGGGAATGTTCTAAGGAAGATCTTTGGACCAGCACAGAGGAACAGACAGTGGATCTGGCGCCTCCAGCGATGGTCGGATGTTCTGATGAGGCCCGTTTGTCACATTAACAGAACTTTTTAACTATAGTTTTGTCTTTGTATCAACATGTTCTCCTGATCTGATTCAATATTTTAATCTAAAATTATTATAACAATAATAATAAAGGCTTTAAAACATCCGCCTGAATGACATCATGAATATTCTTCTTTGATTTTTATAAATTTAGTTTACTGTTGCCGACAATTAGAAACCAAAGAAAATCTGCAGTTAGAGTGAGCGTCAGTAAAGAGCAACGACCGGAGAACAGATTCAGGAAGAACGAGCAGAGTAATGGCGGCCATCTTATCTCCCCTTCCTGCTGGAGGACGCAGCAGCAGAATGATGAGCAACGGGACCGATAACAAGAGGAGATCCGCAAACCATCCAGCAGAAGAACCCAAAGACTGAAGAACAGAACCAACCCTGGGACAGGAAGAACCTCAGTCTGCCCCCTGCTGGTCAACAGGAACGAGTCTAAAGGGCCCATCATGTGGTTTGAGGTGAGGAGCTCATGGTTCTACTGCCCCATGGTTCTGCTCCAGGCAGAACCGGACCAATGAACGGACCGCTCTGAGGTCTGTGCTGTGTGGATAGAGGTCCAATCCCTGATGGTTGGTTCTGGTTAGATGGACTGAAACTAAGCAGAAAGGAGGACCAGATAACCTTTGGTCCAGACCGATCCGTAGGACCCGGAAGGAAACCAGAACCGGATCAGTGTGAGTTCTACCAGAGAGAACCAGAGACATCCAAAATGATAGAAAACCTAAAACATCTGCTCTTCTACTCAGAACCATCAGTTAAACAGATGATTGATCAAGCAGAAGTCCTCAAGGTCCTCTGTTGTCACGGCAACTGGATGTAGAGCCTGGAACTCCTCAGCAGGTGAAGCTGGTTCTGAAGCACCATCAGATTAACATCTGGTTCTGAGAGATGGGTCCAAACCGCTGGTTAGGATCCTGCTGTGAAGAAGGCGACCCGGTTGGTTCTGCTCCCTCAGTCCACCTGCAGGTACCGAGCAGAGAAGGCCTCCAGCTGGGCCTCCAGCTCCGTGGCTCGGTTCCTGTAAATAAAGAACCGTTTACTGAACCAACGTCCAGCTGAAGTTCTGATGGCAGGGCAGACCAGAACCTCTCTGCAGAACAGAACATGGTCACTGGATCTTCAGAAGCTTTTATTTTGAAGGATGCTGACAGGAAGCTGTGATTCAGGATGTCTGATCCCAGATCAGTGTTTAACTGAACTGGTTGGTAATGAACCTGAACTAGTTATAGTTACTAGTTACTTCTTCCAGTACCTCAGTTACTGAACAACCAAAGTAACTATTTACGAGGCAAAGTAACTAAGTAGGTACTACAATTATCTAAATTATTGAGGAATTCTGATGATATTTTAACTCTTAATCCAAATATAATGTGTTAATTAGCAAGTATAAAATGTTTCATAGAAATGAATAAAATCAGTAATTATCTGAAAACATTGAACACTTCTCCACACCTTTTTAATTGTTGTTAGAAACAGACTTAATCAATCTATTTTAATGTTCAGTTAATATAACATAATGAATGTTAAACTAGGAGCCCCGCAGCGTGAAACTGATCTGAATCAAGCTTCCGTAACGCAGCTCTTTATATTGTTGGTAACATTACAACGTAAAGGAGAAGAGGAATTAGATTCCTGGTTTACAGAATAGAACCCAACTTTATTGTCATTACACTGTGACAACAAGAACAGATCAACAAAATGAACTCTCTGCATTTACCCCCTCCCCTCACGGAGCAGTGGGCTGCCATTGTGCTGCTGTTGTTGCTCAACAGCGCCCCCTAGAAATAAAGCCATGTTTAGTCCAATAGTTATAAAAATTTGTACACATTTGTATCTTAACAGCACCTACCAAAAATTCTCTTTTAACCATGGTCTAAACCCACAGGGACTGGCCATTTTGAATTCCATTAGGTAAAGTGATGTTACTATGAAAGATGTTATGTGACGTTCTTCGGTAATGATGGAGTCCGAGGAGCACCAATCACAGCATCACACACTGATTTATGCCGCAACTATGAATATGTAGCTGTTGGAATATTCAGCCGTCTGTTCAGAAACGGATAATAAAAACAGTTCGGGGATTGTTGTTGTTTTTTATTGCATCGCTGTTTTAGGAATATCCAGGAAAGAAGACCTATTGCACATCATCAGTATGATGATCCTGGTTAGTGATGAGAGCGCAGCAATGATGAAGTAATAATTTGAATCGCCAGCCGCTTGAATTAGAATTAACATCTGAAAGCATTCATGTCTGTCTTCTCAACCTTTGATTATTTTGGGAACTAGTTTAGGATCAGGTTTGATTCAACTCCAACCATAACCCTTAAAAAAATATTAAGGTTTTATTATTAATGTCAGGGACTTTATTTACCTGATGTGGGATTTTTGTAGGACCTTAAATACTGAAAGATTTAAGATAAAGTTTAAAGCTTGTTTCTTTTTGGCAAATCTAAACTTATACATCAATCTAATTAAAAGTAGACGTATGGAGGTCTAACAGCTGAACTCCAGTCTGCTCTAAGAGATCTCTGTGATCTGAAGATGTAAGTTCTTCCCATAAAGGTGTTTCACATACTGAAGAATAGTTAAACCCTCGTAGAAGAACAGTCATTGAGTTTCCTCATGTTCTTCCTCCTACACAGTCTAATAAACACCCCCCGCCTGAGACGTCAGACAGCGTAAACCAAGCACCCCTCACCTAAAGGCCTTGGACTTCCTCTGGGTCTTCTCTAGTTTCTGGATCCTGGAGGTCAGCTGACGGATGCTTCCTTCCAACTCAGCTTCGCTCAGGTCCACCCTCTGCGTCAGACGGTTGAAGGTGGCCGTCAGCTCCCTGAAACACAAACAAACACGATTAAAAACTTTAGCAGTTGTTCACCCAGGTGTTCAGTCGATGGGGGCCAGGCTTACTTGTACACCTGTTGGCTGCAAGAGGAGCTGGTGACGGAGACGACCGCTCTGAGGCGCAGAGCCGCATACTCCGTGAACTGCTTCTTCAGAGCACGCTCCTTAGTAGCATCAGTCCAGGTGAGTCTCTCATACAGGTAGAGGAGTCCATACAGGGAGATGGACAGGGCAATGACACGCCAGCCCACAGAACGCCACACCTGCAGAAACAGAACTCCTTAGACACACCTAGAAACACCTGAGACACACTTAGGTAAAACCTGGAAAACACCTCAGACCAGTGGTCTCCAACCCTGGTCTAAGATCTACTGCCCTTCAACACAGCTGAATCAAATGACTGATTACCTTTTCAAGTTTGGTAAATGCTTGGTAAAAAGCTATTCATTTGATTCAGCTGTGTTGGAGCAGCGATGCATCCTGCAGGACAGTAGATCTGGAGGACCAGGGTTGGGGACCACTGCCTTGGACAAAACAAGAAAACACAAGCTAACCATCTCTGACACTCTTGAAAACCACCTACCAAACCCTTAGAAATCAACTGGGACAAACCTTTAAATCACCAGGAAAAAACCTCAGACACACTAAGGCAACACCTTAAAAATACCCAGAAATCATCTGGGACATACTGGGGCAGGGATGGGCAATTCCAGTTCTTGTGTCTTTAGTCAACACACCTGAATCAAAGAATAAGATGATTGAGCGGAATATGTAGGAACATAGTGCATACTGAGGAGGTAACCCAGCCATTTGATCCAGGTGTGTGGGACCAAACGGTGAATCTAAAGGTTGCAGAATACCGGCCCCCAGGAACTGGAATTACCCACCACTGTACTAGGAGATACCTGGGACAAAACTCTGATTACACCTAGGGCACATCTGAGAAACATCTAGAAAACACCTAAGAAACGCCCCCAGAAAAACACTGAAAAAAAAAACTGAGACAGCCTCACTTGCACCTAAAGCCAGGAATACACTAATATTTTTTTGTCCTTTTCGGGCTGATTCTCCAGTCGTGCAAGAATTTTCCGATCGTGCCGACTATTAGCCTGATAGTGCGTCATGTCGTGAACAGGGGGTAACTAGAGGCCTTTAAACCCTGCAGGTCCGTTGTACAGTGTGAGCTGTAGCTGCGTGAAACAATTAAGAAAATCGTACAGTGTATGCCCCGCTTAACAAACCACTAAGAACCAGAAGGACCGACTTCTTCTGGATTGTTCTATATCTTCTAATTTGATTACTTTGGCTAGATTAACAGCAGCTGCCGTCCAGGAAGTTTATCTGCTGGGTTTTGAACTTACCACACCTCCAATCACCAGAACCACCATGGATGCCCTGGAGGTGACAGAGACTAAGCCCGTTGCTACGGAAACAAGCACTTCATCCTTGAACGCTGGTCCTTCCTGCGGACAGAGCAGCATCCTTTGAGCCGGTTGCTTCATCAGAAAGCCTTTACCACCTGAAAGTGAGCTTACCTTCAGGCCACGCTCGCCGCCACTCAATGCCCGCTTAGCATTGGTGGCTCCAATGAAGCGTGTGACGAGGGCGGTCCAACCCAAAGAAAACTGGAAGTCAATGTTCTCCCTGAAGTCGGCACAGAGGGCGGCCAGAGTGAGGTCATAGGTCATCTCGAAAGAGGAGGATGGAGTAGAGAGCTGCTGCTGGACAGAAAGAGACACCAGGGGACGGACGCTGTCTGAGGACAGACATCAGATAGTCACAGGGACAGCCTCCCTGGGGATTGGTGATGCAGAAAGAGGAGGGGTCGGTACCAATCATGTGTTTCTGCGCTTCTCGGATATCTCTGAAGATGCTGAGAGAACAGCGATGAGCCAAACAGCCAACGAGCCTCTCCTCCACGTGCTGCACCAGCTTCTGCAGGAACACCAGAATCACAAGTCCAACAGGTACTGAGGTTCTGTGTGGAAGAGTTCTCCACTGTTAGAACAGTTTTCCAACAATGTGACGGCTATAGTAAGTTAATCAGCTCTAACTGGGAGAAGAGCCGATCCAAATGTTCGCAAAGTTTGGTTTATCTACCAGGTGACATGTCCTCCTTATCAGAACAGAACCAGCTCAGTTAGAAGGTGACTGGCTTGGGTCCCTGAACGCCCCCTTTAATCAGCCAGCCCAGCAGGAGGCGTTCAGGGACCAAAGCGTGTTCTTCATTGAACCACCTGGATGGGTATTGTCAGACGGGTTCTGGACCGGTCCAGGAACCCAGAACTGTACCACATTCCCTGCCTGGGAGTTCTGTACTCACAGATTTGTAGAGTTGCAGAGTTTCTGGTGTCGGGCTGAAGTCGGCTCTGAACTCCTCAACAAGAACAGGAAGTGACTGGATCTGATCCAACAGCGCCATGGCAACCTGAGCAAAGAGACACCTAACAGAGGTTACCATGGAAACACTTAAGCAGTTCTTGTCTTTCTTTGATGGACTGGAACCAGTCCGTTAGTGCTCTCCCATTGGTGGAAGCAAGTCTCTGCCTTGGACCCGGACCAGAATCAGAAGCTTTACGCTGAGAAGCAACAAAGATGTAGAGCTGTCTGGTTCTGCTAAGTCCTGGACCTGCCCAGTGATGCCTCAGGAGGATGTTTGTACCTTGGCAGCAACTTCATCTGTCAGTGTTCTGATTCGGTCCTTCACGTTGTCACTCAGACGGCTCATCTGTCCTCTGACAAAGTCCAGCCGATCCCGCTGCTCCTCTCGCTCCTCCAGGCAGCAGATCCTGTCGGAGGTCAGAGGTCAGAGAGACGTACTCGGAGCACGTTCATTAAATAAATGGCAGCGCTAACTTCCTGTCAGCTGAGGCGATGTTGATGGCGTCCATCACTGCTTTGATGGCCTCTGTGATCTGCCATGCCCTCGCCGTGTGCTGTTCGAACTTGGTTCGGACCGCAGAATGAGAGATGAACTCCTGCAGACAAAGGTCCAGTTCACCATGTCAGAACCAGAGCTTAACTGGGTCACAACAAGCAGTGACTAACTGGAACATCAAACTGGGAATGTGTTTCTGGGTTTACCAACCTCAAAAGTCCTCTCAAACAGGTGGAACTCTCTCAGCCGGTCATGGAAACCTTCTGCCATAGCGCCACCTGCAGGAAGTTCAGGTTCAGGACATTGAATCCCAGGTTTTCCTTTTAAGTAATCGGTTTCCTGAGAGCCTTCTACAAAGGAGTATTAGAGCCAGGCTAGAGATTTTTAGTTTTTTCATTTTGAGAATAAACGTAAATAAACCTTACAAGAATAAAATCATAATATTACGAGAATAAAGTCATCAAACCACGTGTTTCAGAAAGAAAGCTTGGAGCTCCACCCAGCACATGACGGCCCGACCAGCTCCACCAATCAGCAACCAGAGTCCACTTTGACATCCTGCCCAGTTTGATGCTGCCGCTAAAAGATGTCAAACCGATGCTAAAGTATAACTTCACATGATGCTCCACATTCCTCATTTTAGGGAAGAAAGGGATTCTTGTAAGACTTGTCATAAAACACAACTTTATTCTCGTAATTTTACATATTTATTCCCATAATTTTACGAGTTATTATAGTAATCTTAAAACTTTATTCTCGTAATGTTATGACTTTATTGTCCTAATGTTACGACTATTCTTGTAATATAACGACTTAATTCTCATAATGTTGCGACTATTCTCATAATTTAACGACTTAATTCTCGTAATGTCAGGAATTTATTCTCATAAATTTTTACTTTATTCTCATAATTTTACGACTTTATTCTGGTAATGTTACGACTATTCTCGTAATAACTTCACAAGTTTATTCTCGTAATTTTATGACTTTATTTGCATAATGTTACGAACTAATTCTCAAAATATTTTCATTGTGACTTTAATCTTGTAATTTTTCGACTTTATTGTCGTAATGTTACAACTTTTTTCTTGTAATATAGCGACTTTATTCTCATAATGTTACGACTTTATTCTCATAATTTTATGACCTTATTCTCATAATGTTACGACTTTTCTCAAAATAGAAAAAAAAACAAAATCTCTAGCCTGGCCCTAATGCTCCGTCATATATCTCTGCCTCTTCTAACAGTGAATTATTATGTTTTTATTAGTGGTGGTCTGTTATCCGCATTAACGTGTTGCGTGCTGTTCATCGCCAGAAATGCCAGACTCTTATCGGGCAATAGAAAAAAATCGTGAATTTACAACATTGAACGTGACATGCTGAAATGCTGCAGCTATTAAAACAGCTCTATCAGGCAAGCTAACCAATCTCCTTGCTCAGTCGGTAGCCACAAGCTGAGGCAGGTGGTCCCTCACCTGCTTCACCTGTCTCAGGCATGCCCTGTGTCCGCTGTGTCCTTGAGCTCAGGACCTCCTTGGCCGACACAAAGAAGATTCTCCCAGCTGCCTCTTCCGGTCCAACCACCCCAAGCTCCTCCGACAGGAAGCTCACACAGCGGTCCATGTGTTGCTTCCTTACCTGGACAGTAGGACAGTAGACAAAGTAAGCTTGAAACTTGAGATGCTGAAGATCTGAATAAGTTCCCATGGTAACGCTGCCGCCACAGCTCACCTGCTGAGACAAAAACCCACCTGGTCGATGTAGTCGGGCTCCGTCACCGAAGCGTCCCAGCGGTTGTGAAGGATAAAGATGTTTGGTTTAGAGATGCGTTCACTCACTTTGTGAAAGAAAAGTTTTTCCTGCAGGACAAAAATAAAAAACTTTGTTTCTTTCTTTCAGAAAATGAACACTCCTGTTCCCAGACAGGGAGCCATGTTGCAAGGTCAAGTAAATCTGATCTGACATGTCCCAACAGGTACCCAACAGGTACCCAACAGGTACCCAACAGGTACCCAACATGTAAAGAGCTGTGTATCCTTCCGCAGCAGTGTGTCGCAGTTAGCTTGTCGCAGATATTTTTGATTTATGCCCAATATTGAAGCGTTGTCTGCCCTATAATATTCCACGCCACAACGAAAGAGGGACAATCAGGAACTAGCTTTGTTCCCCAAAGACTGGGATTCGGGTGCAAACAAACAGACTGTCACACTGAGCTAAAAACCTAGCATCCTGTATAGTGTCTGGGATAGTGTCCGAGGTGTGCCAGGCGTTGTGGACGGCACTATAGTCAGAGTGTCTGCCATTAGGTACCAAACAGGAAATACGCATAGAGTAGAGTGGATGTAGAATTGACCAATCAGAGGCCTGCTTGCGGTCTGAATGTTGCATTAGAGTTCTGACTGATTGGTACCTCTGAGACGTTAGTTTTCCTGTGGCTCTCCAGATGTTGCATTAAAGATGAAGTCTATCGACCCAGAATACAAACAGAACTGGTTCCTTACCGTGTTCATCAGCGTCGACTCTGCGTTCCCCACCAGAACGAAGACGTCTGCATCCAAACAGAACTTATCGATCCAGCTGTCCAACTCCAGGGTGACGTCTGTCCCTGGACTGTCCCAGAGGTCAGGAGGTCAGAGGGAGGAGAAGCAGGAGAAGTTCCAGATCAGTTTAAGTTCTGAGCTACAACCTGGCAGCTGTGGACCATTATGGGTCAGTCTGAGGGACTGTTAGGGAGACCCAGAGAAAGGGGGTCCCTTATGGCTCCCATCTGGGTGGGTCTTGACCTGGATGAAGTGGTTTTGGTAGAACTTGGAGTTGCTGCTCTGGATTGTTTACAGGTGAAGAAACCAAACTGCCCAGAAGAGTCAAACTATATTTGGAACCAGAACCATCAGGATTAGTGCCAATTCCTTAGAACCCATTAGGTTCTGGAGAACTGGACCAACCCTGCTGGTACTGGTGTGGTGGATTTACCTGTCCATCAGAACCAGGTCATCTCTCAGAAGCGTGCAGCGACTCTTGGGCCAGAACACTCGAACCAGACTGCCAGAGTCCAGCCTTGGGTCCATGTGGAGCGCGTGGGCCAGCTGGTTCACCGTCTGTGGATGGAGGTGGAGGAGTTAGCGCCGAGCAGAATCTTGACCCGGGTCAGGGTGTGCTGCTGCCGCGGGCCTACCGAGACGCTGCGTCTGTGGTCGGACGCCTCGGTGGTGAGGTATGCCTCGTGGTCGTCGGTTCCCTCCACGCTCAGAAAGCAGTTGGTGGTGTGTCCGATGCCGCTGGGCAGAACCCGCTCTCTGAGCATGGCGTTGATGACGGTGCTCTTCCCGTTACTGGTTCTGATGATGGGGGAGAACACAGAAGAAACTTCACTGTTAAACATGTTCCTCAAAGTCCTCTGAGGCTGGTTTTTGGACTTTGGCTGCTTTGTCCCTTATTTTCACCTGTGTTGGAACCAGCGACACGCACAGACAGAAATTAGGTGGCGCTAGAGCACCTGCCCTTTTCCCCTCTGGACAAAAAAAATATTCTCCTGAAATCTTTTTTTTCCCTTTTCTTATTCTTTGGCGCAAAATACCATTTATGAATTTAAAGACCTAACAAACCAAGAGACTTTAAAATGCAGCTCTTTGATTCTATTAAAAAAAAAGTAACTTAAAGCACCCTATAGATGTAATTAATAATCAATTTGCTGTAATGGTTCCTGTAAGCAACCTCTGATGACATCTATGGGACTTTTATTACAGCTACAGCACAGAAGTTACATTTTGTCTGTTAAACATTTCACAGCAAACATAAGGCCAAATGATCAAAATTTGTAAAAAATAACTTTAAAGTCGTAGGAAAACAGCTGTTCTAACCGTTACATTTGCGAATTCTCCCGAGTGGTGCCCGACTTTCACGAGTGAATAAAGTGAATGTGATTGGTCGATTATCAAGGGGGCGGGATTGTTGTGGTGGGATGTTAGCAAGCATGTTTGGTTGTAGCCGGTTTGTGGGAAGCATCTTGCTAACCAGTTAGCAACTTAGTGCTAGCAGGTTCCCAATGGGAAATTCCATTGGGATCAAGTAGCACTAAATTGGTGACTTAGAAACGACGCTGTCAAGGAACGCTATGGACAGCGGAAACATGCAAGAGGAGGAGAGTTTAGTGTCGGAGGTCGTGGATGAGTCTCCTCCGTCATCCATTTTTTATTTAGAGGAGGAAAGCGGGGATGAAGATGTTGTGGAAGAGGACGCCAGGGCGGCAGAAGCTTGGTTTGGTGTAGAAGGCTTCCAGCCGTACATGTTTGAGCCCTTGCCTCGCAACGCTGCCAGTTCTGTTAGCTCTACGCCTGCCGAAGACACAGACGTCCATCCCCGTGAACACTGGGACGCAACTCAATGGTAAAGGAAAGGATTCTGATTTCAACCGTTGCGTATATTAGCTGCGACATATGAATCAAGATGCTATGACCGAAAACATTTGATTGACGGATGACTGTTGATATATGATTGGCCGAATTTAGGTGTTCAGGCTGACGTAGAACTAACTGGCCTGCAGAAGATAACGGGAAAAACCCACAGACTTTAAGACAAGATTTTTTTTAAAGAGAAATGTTCTAAATTTTAGGACAATATTTTCTGAAAATAACTGTATTTGTCTCTAAACTGAGCAGGAAAATAAAATGATCTGTCAGTGGAATAACAGTTTTTAACCTTAAAATAAGATTATTACATATTATGCACTTGAAATAAGATAATGGTGTTGTTGTTTTTTTATATAATTTAAGTGTTTTAACCCAATAAACTTAAAGATATTCTGGAATTCTAGCTTTTGCATTAGACTTTTATTATATTTCTATGTACTTAGGAAAACTGTCACCCGTGAGGCTCTTATTTAATAATATAAACGGGATCCAGGGGTAGGAGACAACGAAAGTTCATTATGTTTCCAGAAGAAGAAAGACTGTGAAGAAATGCGTAATCTGTTCCCTGCACCAGATAACTCAGGGCAGTACGTTCATGAAAATCGTGTTTTTTGTGCTCTGGCCTTCAATTGTGTTCTTTTTTTGACATAAAATTAAGTAAAAAAAAAAAAAACAAAAAAAAAAAACTTGATCAAGTATATTGTTTTTCCAGTTAAGCAGATTTTAAATTGCTATGTATTTAATTGACACTAATGTAGCTTTGCTGCCTATGGACTGCGGTCAATGGTTAAACGTCAGCATCAGATGGTGTTCGGCTGTTGACGGCTACAAGGTGTCATGTTTTGGTTCTGTTTAAGTTTCCCTTTGAGTTTTCATTGGTTTTATTTCCAATTTGTGTTATCCTAGTTATTTTTGATTGTATTTGAGTTCTTGGGTATTTCTTGTTTGCCTCTGCTGCTCTCCTGTGTCAGTCTGCTTTTCCTAGCTCCCTTCTAGTCTCCTCTGTTCACACCTGCTCCCAATCTGCTGATTAGCCTGGTCTTTGTTTCTCTCTCCCATATATACACCTCCTGCTCAGTCACTGTTGCTGGTTTGTCGTCATTTCTTTGCCCCTTGTTGTGAGTATTCCTGGTTTTTGTGGTTTTATGTTTTTGGATTTTTGCTTCTGTTGCCCTTTTTGTGTCATTAAATCTGCAGATAACCACCTTCAGCTTCAGTGTCTGTATTTGGGTCCTGCTATTCAAACCTCCACCCTACTGTGACACAAGATGCCCTTTTTGCAACCTGAGCACCTGGCCCATAAAATGTCTGTGAACGCCACTGGTAGGAACCCTGAATGAGAATTGAGTCAGTACTCTGATGGTTGCATCATATGTTGCATCATCAGTTTCCAGAGAAACGCCGCCCGTCTGTTTCTAAGGATGCTTCTGATGACAGTTGCAGGTCTGAACAGGAAGCTTTGATGTGGCTGTTGCCACGGCTGCAGTTCTGGTCAGATAAGTCTATCTGGACCCTCGTTCTGTCAGCAGCTTTATCAGCAGCTGAACAAACGCACAAAGCTGGAAGAAGAGCCTGTGGAGCTCAGCTCTGAGTTTAGCAGCTCTAGAGTAACCTGTGGTTCTTTCAATGAAATGTTTCTGAAGATCCACCCAATAAAAGGCACCCTGAGGCCTTCAGAACCGGTTTCTGATGCAAAACAGAGACAGAGTTTGGCTTTCAGTAAGACTGACTTAACTGATTAATGCGCAGATAAACGTTTGTTGGATGTCACTCCTGTTAATGTTGGATTTTATCGTCTCGCTCCAAGAGGAAACAGCTGGAAGGCATCTGGAGGTCTAAATTAAGTCAGCATCCAGTGGGTGTTTTGGTCTAACGGAGTAGAACTGGACCCAGTTTAGGAACCAAAATGTCCCAGAATCTTGACGTTTGATTAAAAACTAAAACTAATGAGTTCTTCTCTGGTTAACCCGAGAAGAACGGTGGTCCTAAGGGAGGTTACTCACAAACTGATTAGGAAAGTTCAGCTGATCCAAAATGCTGCAGCCAGAGTTCTGATGAAAATGAAAAAGAGAGATCATATCTCTCCTATCCTGGCTTCTCTTCATTGGCTTCCTGTTAAATCCAGAATAGAATTTAAAATCCTCCTTCTCACATATAAAGCCTTAAATGGCCAAGCTCCATCTGATATCAGAGATCTGATTGTTCCTTATGTTCCTAACAGAGCACTTCGCTCTCAATCTGCAGGTTTACTAGTGGTTCCTAGAATTTCTAAAAGTAGAATGGGAGGCAGATCTTTTAGTTCTCAGGCTCCTCTCCTGTGGAACCAACTACCAGTTTTAGTCCGTGAGGCAGACACCCTGTCTACTTTTAAGGCTAGGCTTAAAACTTTCCTTTTTGATAAAGCTTCTAGTTAGAGTGGCTCAGGTTATCCTGAGCTATCTCTATAGTTCTGCTGCTATAGGCTTAGACTGCTGGAGGACATAGGGACCCCTTTTTCATCATTCTGCTTCATTCTATCTCTATTCTCCCACTCTGCAGAATCTGTTAGTTCAATCTCTAACGTTCTGCTCTCTCTGCTTTTTCTCATAGTAGCTTCATCTGGTCTGTTCCTGTTTGGCTGTGACTCCATCCTGGAGAGAAATATCAGCTGTGCTGCTGCCATCAACACCTTCCGCCATCTATGCTTCTTTTTCTATGTCTGCTTCTGTCTCCTTGAACCCCAGTGGGCCTCAGCAGATGGCCGCTCACACTGAGCCTGGTTCTGCTGGAGGTTTCTTCCTGTTCAAAGGGAGTTTTTCCTCTCCACTGTCGCTGCAAGCATGCTTAGTGTGAGGGATTGCTGAAGAGTCAATGAGTCGATGCAATCAGCTGGTTTTCCTTAGATAGAAAACTTTGAATCAATCTGACTGTATGATCTTGTTGAATTGTGTCTTTAAAGTTCCTTGATGTGACGTGTTGTCATGTCACTATTGAAATAAAGTGAATTAAATTAAATTGAAGTGTTCATCCCGGTACTTGAAGGAACAAAATCTGACCATAAAGACTCCTCTAAAGGTGCAGCTGAAAAAAATCCCTAACAGACACGTTACCATAGCAACCTTATATCCTATCGCAAAAGGAAAACAGAAGCAGACATAAACTGTAGCTAAAAGAAGGATCCAGATCTGGTTCTGCTAAAGGACTCTTCTCTGAGAAGAAGCTGAAGCCCGCTGATGTTCTCACCTCCCGAAGAAGGCCACCTTCATGTGTCTCCTCAGCAGAACCTCTCTGATGGCGGCCAGTTTGGCGGCGCAGCTCTGCATCTCCAGACTGTGCTCCTCCACAGCCACCGGACCCAGATCCTGGTTCTGGACGGCCTCTGATATCACAACAGACAAACATGAGGCCCATCTACAGAACAGTTCCACTCAGACCCGTTTCTGAACCTGTCAGAACCTTTGTCCTACTGGATGGAGATAAATGGAAACCAAACACCCAGAACAGAACTCCCAAACCAGGCCACACCAGAACCAAGCAGAACTACAGAACCTATAGTGTGTGTTTCTGACCGTCCACAAAGACAGAACCGGTCCTCACAAACTCCAGCAGCTGGTCGAAGATGGATCCGATGGAATGTTTGGCCACGACGAATCGGTGCAGAGGAGACGGGTCCTCAGCCTCCATGGTCCCTGCACACACAGAACCAGAACAGAACCCAGAAGTTCTGTTGGACCTCAGCAGAATGTTCTGACTGTGGAGCAGATTAACCAATTCCAGCAGAACATCAGCTGAAACAGGAAGTAGAAGGGACCTACTGGACCGGTCCAAAGTGGAACCAACCGGGTCAGCTTTGGTTCTTTTCTCTTATTTTGTCTTTTTGATTCATTTCTAAATCAAAACTATTTTATTTTTCATCATTTAATTTCTTGATCAATAAATACATCAAATATTTAAATGAACTAAATAATAGTTTGATAAAAACTCTAAATGAACTCCTGCAGCGGTTCTCTGGAGGTCCGGTCTGGTTCTATCTAAGCAAGCAGAACCTCTGGAGTCAGCAGAGAAGGTTCTCCTCTGACTCTGGGATCGTTAACGTAGCTGCAGGTAACGCAGCATAAAGACCTAAAGTCTGATTCCTCCAGAACATTCTACGTCCTGCAGATACTTGCCGTGTCACACGAGAGGCTTGTTTTTACCGTGATCTGAGGGCCTCTCTGGTTCAAAGGTCAGCCTGTCCCAGTGGAGTCAGCGCCGGTTCCCGTCCTACCCGGGTCCAGTCGACAGAACCCTTCCTCACCCTGCAAACGGCTTAGTGCCTCAGAGCGACTCTGATCCTATTATCAGGATTTAGACCTGCAGCCACCTGCAGCCTGCATCCCCCCCTTCCCCACAGCCTTCCGCTCCCTGCAGGTTCTGATCGTCCTTGAACTGTCCTGGAGCTTCATACAGCCTCACCTGTATTGGACAGTATCTCTGGCTCCGCCCCTTTTTAACAAGCTTGGACTCCTCTCAGTCTGGTTCTGATTGGACCGGCACCAGGATGTCTGCAGGACCCGGGGGAGGTTCTGATTTAGTGCTGAGGGAACCGTTGGAGCTGTTGGTGGGAACCACGTCCTCCCAGACTCTGCTGTCCTGAGCTGTGGGGTTCCACAAGGCTCTGTTCTAGGGTCACTTCTTGTAATGGTTTCTCATTACTGGTTACCAGTTCCCTGTTACTGGTGACGCTATGGACCCACTCAGGGAAGGATTTAGGAAATTTGGGGCCCTAGGCAAAGACAGGCAGGGCCCCTCTGAACTGAGAAGACAACACATAAAACAGAAATGTTAATAGAATAGACATCCATTATCTGTTCTAGGTTGTGTCCCTCTCTTCTTGTCCCTTTTCTTCTTGTTTTCCTCTCTATGTTTTGTACTCAGCTGACTTTTCATGCTGTCTCTAAAGGAATGAAAGATTTTTTCCAAGCACTAAGCTCACTTAGCTGATTGCTCCTTCCTGTGTTTCCAAAAAGGCCAAAGTAAATAACCCAGTCCTTCTTTTCACTGTAGACAAGCCATGATCTGCTTATCTGTTCTCCATTTTTCATTTGGATGAAATAATAGCTGCATGAATCATGACAGCAGACAAGATAGAGGAGAGCAGGAGGCGGGGTTACCAATCTACTCGCTCTGGAGAGCAGAGTTCGCTGCTTTTAGATGTTGTCTCCAAAGTCTCCAGTAGCAGAAAAAAGTCTCCAGAATTGGCGCTAGGATCTTTTTAGAAATCAAAGTGCTAGAGGGGTCTGAAAAGTGGCTAAATATAGCGACTAAAGCGCTAAGTTGGCAACACTGCTCTTTGCATGGTTTGTTTTCAAATGGTTTGCTGCTGTCTGTTTGGACCTTTCTGAACATGTGCAGCAAATGGACTGATCCAATATGGTGGACACTGAAGGGGGGGGCTGAGACACACTTAATATTATCAGCGTTCTGATGGCATTTTAGAAAAAGCATTTTTATCAAAAACATAATTAATGAGCACAAATAAGGATGGAAACAGAGTTTTATTGGGCCCCAGGAACTCGGGGCCCTGGGAACTGCCTAGTATTGCCTAATGGTAACCCTTTGATCAGAACTCCTGGTTCTGATCAAAGGGTTAATCTTCATCTTATGTGAATTAATCTTCTAAAGGTTTCTGATCTGAGGTCTGCAGTGCGTCCTTCTGTCCAGCAGAGGGCGCAGAGGATTGGAAGTCTGCAGAATATTCTCCTCAGATTAAAGTTCTGGTTCAAAGGACAATCCTCCAAACAGAGCTTTGATGTGTTACCATGGAAACAGCCTCTCTGAGCCAATCAGGATGTTTTTCCACAGGGAGAAACTAGATGAGGATAAGCTGATCTTCAGTAATCTCTGAGGGAACCTCTCAGCCAGAACCAGAAGCATCAGAGAAACTTGGTGAACGTTAAAGCTGCTGAAGAATCAGATCAGAACCTTCAGCCCAAAGGTGCTGCTGCTTCGGCTCGGTTCTGGAGACCATCTCTGGAAGTTCTAGGAGAACTTCAGGAGAAGCTTAATCCCTGAGGCTGATGACATTCACCTCCAGATTGGATCAGGCCTGGTTCCTGTCTGCCGTGGAGAGGTTCAGGCGGGTCTGCTGCTGACTGATAAGGTGGGCGTGGCCAGGATGATGACAGCGTCTGAGTGATGAAAGAGGAGGCAGCGTTTCCTCTGAATCTGCTGGAGCTGATAGAGACCAACGACCAGGCCCGACTAGGCCCAGCCTGACCTGACCCGGCCCAGCCTGACCCGACCCGGCCCAGCCTGACCCGGCCAGCCCAGCCTGGGAACCCTGCATCCCATCCCAGAACCCTGAGCCCCTTCCTGACCTCTGCCCCTCTGACTAGTTTAGATCCTGTTGATCCTTGAATGATGGAGGCAGAAGGAGCTCAGCCTCAGAGGCAGACCCGTCTGGATCCGTCTGGGTTCTGTGGTGCTGAAAGGAAAAGCTGGTTCTGCTGGGAGACAGCAGACGCTGAGGAGACATTCAGGACAAACCCGCAGACGGACGAGTGACAGCTCCAGATCCACGGAGAGATAGAGGGAGGAGGAGGAGGAGCTGAGGGAGGAGGAAGGATAAAAGCCGAGTCTGCAGAGCAGGAGCCTTCAGACTGAGGAGGAGGAGGAGGAGGAGCACCGATAGAAAGAACCTCCACCATGAAAACGCCCTGATCATCTTCATCACAGAGTCTTCCTCCTGCAGCCGGGATGAAGAGCGGCTTCTGCTCAGGGAGGAGGCTGCTGCTGCTTCTGATGATGATGATGGTGATGAAGGCAACCAGCCTGGAGATCCAGGAGGACGAAGAGGAGGAGGAGGAGGAGCAGGAGATGGTGAGAAACTCCTGGTTCCTGTTTCAGAGAGGCTCTGGTTCCCAGGTTTCCGGGTCTGGATCAGGGTTAGTCAGAACCCGACCCAGATTCTTCTTCTTCACCTCCTTCTGCCGACAGAACCAGAGCTTCTTGTTAGAACCAGGCAGGTTCTGGTTCTGTGATTAGTTAAATGCTCAAAGACCAGGGAACCAGAACAGGTCTTAACGGGTCAGAACCTCCTGAGCTGTCTGGGTCCAAACACACTAACCCGGTTCTGTCCTGCAGGAACCGGCGCCATCGGACGGGTCCAGAGTGTCTCCTCGCAGCTCCTGGCTGCTCTTCAGGAGAAACTCCAACAAAGGAGAGAACCGCAGAACCAAAGGCTCCCGCAGAACCTCCAAGGTCAGTCAGAACCACTCAGGTACACAAGAACATCCAGAACCCACATGGATCAGCGGGTCGACCCAATGCCTTCCTCTGGAACAGAATCAGGTCCAAATGATGATCAAACCCAGAAACCAGGCAGAGAAACAGAACCTGAACCACAAGGCCTGACAGATGGTTTGAACGGACCTCAGCGGCCCGGTTCTGGTTCTGTTGGTCTTTTTAGAAGAGCAGGGTGGCAGCATCTTCCAGAACCAGCCCTTACGGAGTTCTGGTCCAGAACCAGAAGTCCAAAAGGTCTGAGATCTCCTGGACTCTGACTGGCTGCAGGAGGCGCCAATGTTTAGGCCTCCCGGGTCAGAACTCTGTAGAACCAGCTCCTGCAGCAAGAGACCCACCGGGTCAGAACCTCTGTAGAACCAGCTCCTGCAGCAAGAGACCCACCGGGTCAGAACTCTGTAGAACCAGCTCCTGCAGCAAGAGACCCACCGGGTCAGAACTCTGCAGAACCAGCTCCTGCAGCAAGAGACCCACCGGGTCAGAACTCTGCAGAACCAGCTCCTGCAGCAAGAGACCCACCGGGTCAGAACTCTGCAGAACCAGCTCCTGCAGCAAGAGACCCACCGGGTCAGAACTCTGTAGAACCAGCTCCTGCAGCAAGAGACCCACCGGGTCAGAACCTGAGGCTGATCCAGACACACGCTTCTAATAAATCTCTCTTTCTGTCTCCTTCAGCACGGTCTGCCAGGCCCGCCGGGCCCTCCAGGACCCCAGGGGCCCCCGGGTCCCCCGGCCCCCCTGCTGCCCCAGCAACAGGAGCTGATCCAGGAGCTGCGGCTCAAACTGGGAGGTAAGCTTCCACTGGGACGGAGTTAAAGTCCCGACCCGACTGGTTCCTTCTGACTCTCACAGCAGCAGCAGAACCTGAAACACTCATTCTGATTCTCCGGGTAAATTTCCATGAACCTCAGGAGAACCGAGCAGAACCACAGATGATCTCAGTGTGTTCAGACTGTGAGGCTCCAGCTCAGGGGTTTTTTTCTACCTGGGTTCTGCAGCCTGGCCCGGTTCTCCCTCTGCAGGTTTCATAACTCCGGCCCGGAGCTGGAGGCAGCCTGTCTGAGACCTTAATAGGCCTAATTTGGTGGAGCGTGGACGGGACTTGGCTCGGCTGCAGGATTCCTGACATTCCTGCAGCCTGATGGCGTGTCTGTGTTTCCCACTGCGGCGGTGTGTGTAAGGGGGGGGGGGGGGATTTGGTTGGACCTTTCCAGGAGCAGACCCAGAACTCCAAGGTTCTGATAAAATTATTTTACTGTAAAAAAAAAACACCCTGTAGAATTGAACCAAATGAAAACAAACGGCTTCGTAAATTTACTCCCATTTTATTACTAAGGCATCTAATTTAATAACTTTCATCTGAGGAATATTGCTAAAATGAGAAATCTCCTGTCCAGGGGTGATGCTGAGAAACTAGTCCATGCATTTGTTACTTCAAGGCTGGACTATTGTAATTCTTTACTATCAGGAAGTCCACAAACTGTAGTTAAAAGCCTTCAGCTGATCCAAAATGCTGCAGCCAGAGTTCTAATGAAAATTAAAAAGAGAGATCATATCTCTCCTATCCTGGCTTCTCTTCATTGGCTTCCTGTTAAATCCAGAATAGAATTTAACATCCTCCTTCTCACATATAAAGCCTTAAATGGCCAAGCTCCATCTGATATCAGAGATCTGATTGTTCCTGATGTTCCTAACAGAGCACTTCGCTCTCAATCTGCAGGTTTACTAGTGGTTCCTAGAATTTCTAAAAGTAGAATGGGAGGCAGATCTTTTAGTTCTCAGGCTCCTCTCCTGTGGAACCAACTACCAGTTTTAGTCCGTGAGGCAGACACCCTGTCTACTTTTAAGGCTAGGCTTAAAACTTTCCTTTTTGATAAAGCTTCTAGTTAGGGTGGCTCAGGTTATCCTGAGCTATCTCTATAGTTCTGCTGCTATAGGCTTAGACTGCTGGAGGACATAGGGACCCCTTTTTCATCATTCTGCTTCATTCTATCTCTATAGTTCTGCTGCTATAGGCTTAGACTGCTGGAGGACATAGGGACCCCTTTTTCATCATTCTGCTTCATTCTATCTCTATTCTCCCACTCTGCAG